GGATTAATAAAATTGAACCATGGGTTGAAGGACCTCCTTTGCATTGGAATGGTCCCACTCCAACGATTCCCACCATTCCTGTTCTCCTCGATATATGTTGATTATCATGAGGGAAGGAGGAGGAGATGGTTGGGCATTATCAAGCAGGGGAAGATAAAGAGGGATCTTCCTTAGGCCCTTGCAATTACTAATGGTAATAGATCCAAGAGAATCACATACCATTACTGCCCCCCTACTACATATGCTCTTCAATGCGGGCAATTTCCACAATTTTAATTCTTTTAATTTTGGAAGAATGAGCTCCTTGATGACGTCCCCTCCTTCTTCTCCTTCTTCTGGATCTGATCCTATTATTTCTTCCATTCCATCACATCCGTAGACGTAGATTTTTTCAAGACTTTGGAGATATTCTGCCAACTTCCAAGATGGAAACAACTTCTTTATTTTTTGGCATTCCACAATCCAAACTACTTTGAGAGATGAAAAAGCCCCAAGTGGAGGTGATGATGTCACCCTGACGTTTGCTTCAAACAGCCGATCCAATTTGTGCAAATTATAAAGAAGCAGATACTCAAGGGTTTGGACGACTGGGTTGTTTATCCACGAGGAAAGAACACACTCCATGCCATCACAGTTCCAAATCCAACATTCCCTCAAATCTGTTGCATCTTTGATTCCAGAAAAATCATTTAAGCTTCTTATGTCGTGGCAAGCTTCAATACATAATACTTGTACGGAGGGAAATAATGTATTCCCTCCAACAATACTAGTCTCCTCGAACACCATTATTTTCTTATATCTTCGTAACTCTGCTGTAACAGTATAAGTCACATTCGAATTGCTTCCAACATTAATAAAATAGTCACTCAGCCTATTAGGCTGACATTTGAGAAAGATTCTCATTTCATTCGCAGTGGGGAACCAGCCATGAAAAACTTCCAACTTCTTCAATCTCCCAACCACGTTCCCCTTCAATTTTATTCTGCTCTTATCTACAATTAACTCTTGAAGTTTGGACAGATTTGATAATATTCCATCTGCTATTTCATCTATTTCAAGAATATCGAGAGGATTTGATCCACAAAGAAAAAGACATTTCAAATTCTTCAACATTCCCAGGCCTTCAGGGACTTCTTTGATTTTTGTGTCCCTAAGGTTTAACTTTTTCAAAGATCCAAGGCCTGATAAAGATGGTACCTTTTCTAAGGATGTTGATTCTAACAACAATGTAGTAAGCTTCACCAATTTAGAGACAGAATTTGGCAAGCTACTTAACCGCAGATTGAAGGAGAGATCAAGAACTTTTAGCTCTGGCATGTGCTCAAAGACAAATTCTGGAATTGTTGACAATTTGTTATGGGCCAACAGTAAGGTTGTGAGCCTTACGCATGTTGAAAATGCCAAGCTCGATGGAATTTCTTCAATATAATTATGCATTAATGAAACCGTTTCAACACCTTCTGCACAATTTACCCTCTCTGGTAGCTCTTTCAATGCCTTGCCAGCTTCTACCAAGAACCGAGGCCTCATTCTTGTAATGTCTAAGGCCATGTCCCTAATAAGATCATGCATCCTCACAGAATCTCCTTTACGTCCATCTTTAATGACTTCCAACAAGCTATTGTCTTCAAGCTTCCTCAAAATATCATAACCCTCATCCTTCATTGCATGCCGAGTTTCCATATCCTCTATAAACCCCTCATCAATCCAGTTTTCAATTATTTCCTCCTTTAGAATCTTGTAATCCTCAGGATACAGTGCACAGTATAAGAAACAATATTGGATCTTTAGGTTCGTCAAACGATCATAACTGAACTTTAATATCTTAAATGCATTATCATCATCTGTACCTGCCACGTTTCTTTTGCAATCTCTCAATTGATTCAGTGCAGCACCCCATAACTGTGGCTCAGATATTTCTTTTAAGCTGCCAGCAACTGTAACAATTGCCAACGGAAGACCATCACATTCATCCACGATCCCCTTCAAAGTTGATTCTAAATCATTTTTAATGCCTCTCCGATGATCTAGTAAACCAGTATCTCCAACTTTATTTAAAAACAATTTTAAAGCTTCCTCTTGTGAAAGAGTCTCCACTTTGATTCTTCTACAACCCATTGAACGCGTAACCTCTTGTGACCGTGAGGTCAATACTAACTTGCTACCATCAACTACATCTGGCCCAGGAATTCCAACTTCATTAAGGTCAAAAATCTTCCACACATCGTCAAAAATCAGCAAGTAAGGCTTGTGTTTGTCTTCTTTTAGCATCTTTAATAACATTCCTGCACGAACAGTTGTATTTTGATACTTTAGCAATTTTTTCTCCTCCAAGCTGCACAAGCTGCGAGCAATTTGTTCTTGCAGGTTGTAGATATCAAAGTTTTGTGAAACGGTTACCCAAATTACTTTCTTGAATTTACCTTCCTTCAGTAGTTCATTGTGGACATGCATCATTATTGTTGTTTTCCCGACTCCCCCCATCCCCCAAACTCCAAGCTTTGTCACCTCTCCTCCTGTCAAGCACGCCAAAATATTTGCTTTAACACCCTCACTGCCTTGTAACTCTGATGTTGGCAATTCAACTAGTGAAGCTAATGGGTCATCAATGACCAAACAGTCTGGCAATCGACTTCCTTCTTCACATATTATCTCCATTTCTTGAATCTTTTCTCTAAGAAGCACTGCTGTTGGATCAGAAGCATGTGAGAGATAGCCGCCTTTATCCACTTTATCTTCAATATCTTTGGCAATGGGGCCAGTTATCTCTTCCACTTTTTCCCGCCAATGTTTGACTTCCTCCTTCTCAATTTTCCCATGGACAAGTTGTGAATGCAGTGTTGAACCAATATCTCCCTGTTTGCGCTGCAGCTTCTCTTTCAATTCTTTAAAATTCTTCACATCATAGTTGAGTTTCCTGGAGTGATCTTCAATGACCAAACACTCATTAGTGTATTTATCCCCTCTATCATATATTTCCTTCAATTCCTGTGTTATTTCCTCTAGAATCATTGCTCGACAACAGAAAGAGAGA